GGTTGTAGGTCTTTAGATTTCATGACTTGGAATACCTCTTTCCAGCCCCTTCTTGCCTGTAAGGTCTCTTTTGAGAAATCTGCTGACAGTCTGATGGGAACTCCTTTGTAGGTGACTGTCCCCTTATCTCTTGCTGCTTCTAGGATTCTCTCCTTCATTTTAATCTTGGCTAATGTAACTATGATGTTCCTTGGTGTGTTCCTCCTTGGGTCCAACTTCTTTGGGACTCTCTGAGCTTCCTGGATTTCCTGGAAATCTATTTCCTTTTCCAGATTGGGGAATTTCTTCTTTATTATTTGTTCAAATAAGTTTTCCACTGGTGGCTGTTCCTTTTCCCCTTCTGGTACCCCTATAATTCAGATGTTGGAGCGTTTAAAGATATCCTGGAGGTTCCTAAGACTCTCCTCATTTTTTTGAATTCTTGCTTCTTGACTCTTTTCTGTTTGGCCATTATTTGCTTTCTTCTGGTCCACTCTATTGATTTGAGTCCCAGTTTCCTTTTCATCGCTATTGGTTTCCTGTGCAATTCCATTCATTTCAATCAGTTTCGCCTTCATATGTTTCTCTAATTTGTGGCTATAATCAACCAGTTCTGTGAGGATCCTGATCACCAGTGTTTTAAACTGTGCATCTGAGACTTTTGCTATTTCTTCATTGCTCAGATTTATAGGCTCTGGGGCTTTGAGATCTTCTTGAGCCATTTTTGGTCTGTTCGAGCCCCTTAAGTATGAGGAGGGGAGCCTTGGACTCACAGGTCGCTGGTTTGTGACAATGTATGTGGGGGCGTGGTCAGAGCGGGGAAATGGTGATGCCCTCTGCTGCCGTTGGGTGCTGGGGCCTGCTGGGTTACGTCTAATGGCCCACTCCCTCACTTGTCTATCTGCACACGAATGAGCAACCACAGTCAACCCGCAGCCCTGCTCCCTTGCTGTTTCCCCGTGGTCGCTGGGTCTCTTACTAGGTCCAACCCTGCACCTGGATTCCGCGCGCCTGAGTCAGTCTGACCGAGTTTTCCTGTGCTACCCTGCTCCGCCAGCTGCTGGTTTCGACCCTCTTACTGGTCAGGCTGAAGAATTTGTTGTTAACAGACTTCCGAAAAGTTCAATTTTCTGTGCTCTGGCTATGTTTTCTGTTGCTATTATTTAGTTGTCTCTAAACTTGGTTGGGTGAGAAAGCACAGTGTCTCCACCTATGCCTCCATCTTGGCGGAAGTCCCCAAGTGTCATTGTTAAAGTTGCAGGAGACAGCCTGATTCTCAGTGTAGCCCAAGATGCCCTTGAAGGGGCCCTCTGACCCCTGCTTCACTATCTTTATGATGTCATCATATTTGGCAGCTTTCTCCAAATGGTACATCAGATCCACAGCTGACACATTGGAGGTGGGGTCACATAAGACTATGCCATTGTGCCTCCCATTCAGCTCAAGGATGACCTTGCCCACAGCCTTGGCAGTGCCAGTAGAAGCAGGGATGGTGTTCTGGGTGGCAGTGATGCATGGACTGTGGTCATGAGTCCCTCCACAATGCCAAAGTTGTCATGGATGACCTTGGCCAGGGGCTCCAAGCTGTTGGTGGTACAGGAGGCATTTCTGACAATCTTCATGGAGTTGTCATACCTGTTGTGATTCACACCCATCACAAATATGGGGGCATCCACAGAAGGAACAGAGATGATGACCCTCTTGGCTCCACCCTTCAAGCGAGCCCCAGCCTTCTCCATGGTGGTAAAGATACTAGTGGGCTCCACAGCATATTCAGCATGAGCATTATCACCCTATTTGATGTTGGCATGATCTCGCTCCTGGAAGATGCCGATGGACTTTCTATTGCTGACAAGCCTTTGAACTTGTCATGAGTAGAATCATGCTGTAACGTGTAGACCATGAAGGTGAGAACAATGAAGGGATCATTGATGGTGACAATATCCACTTTGCCAGAGTTAAAGACAGCCCTGGTGACCAGGTACCAAATACAGCCAAACCTTTTCACTGCCACCTTCACCATTGTGTCTCAGGCCAGCAGTTGGCACTGCACAGGAAGTTGCAGCTGTCTGTCAAACAGAAGGAGCAGAGAGCCTGAAACTTGGATTTTTGACAATCAGATGAAAACTCGTCTCTCAGTGTACTTTTAGTTTGCATTTCTCTTATTAAAGGTGAGATTGGGCATCTTTTCATATGTCTAAGAATCAGTTGTGTTTTCTTTGAACTATCTATTCATACATTTGCCTATTTTCTACTGTATTGTTGGTGTTTTCATACTTCAGTGATCTATTTATATAGTAGGAAGATTAACCTGTGTGTTGTGAGTGCAATTATTTTCCTCCAGTTTGTCATTTGTCGTTGCTGGATGTCTATATTGTGTATATATTTATGTGTTTCTGTGTGTGTTTTTCAGAGGTCTTTTATGGCTTTTGGATTTTGAGTAGAAAATGCTTTCCCCACCATATATAAGAATTTTAAAATAATTCTCTAATGTTTTCCTCCAGTATTTTAGTAGTTTCATTTTTTACTTTTAAACATTATATCCATTTATAATTTATCCTGGTACATAATTTTTTATGTAAGTACTACCTTTATTTTTTCCTGATATCCTTTACAAGTATGCCCCAATATAGTTTCCTCAACTGCTTTGCAATGCTACCTTTATTATATACCAAATTCACATGAATATATGGGATTGTTAATGGACCTTCCATATTCTTTCAGTGGTCTGCTTATTCAATCTCAGAACCAAACTTTTAAATATTGACATGCTATATTTTTATATCTGACAGGGCTAGTATCCCCTTATTGCTTTTTTCATTTGTTTTCAGAATTTTCCTCGATGTTCATGCTTATTTATTTTCCCATATGAACTTTAGAGTCACCTTGTCCAGTTAAAAAACTCTCCTGTTATTTTTATTCTTATTGTATCTAATTTATAAGAAGTTGGTTAAGAATTCGGTTTTTCATATAGAATCCTATTATCTAAGAACATTTTACCTTTCTTTTTGTTTAGATCTTCCTTATGAATATTGTACATTTCTCGTTAAGCTTATTTTTAAATATTTTATCTTGTTTTTGCTATTATAAATTATACATTTTCCCTTATATTTTCTAACTGATAGTTGTTGGTGTATAAGAGAGCTATTGATTTCCTAATATTAATTTTATATAGTTATTTTACTGCATTATCTCATTGATTATAGTATATTTTAATTTAATTATCCTGGGTTTTTTATGCATACCATCATATTATTTGCAAACAGTCATTGTTTTGCCTCATCCTTTCCAATTTTTTTTACCTCTAATTTCATTTTGGATAGCACAACTAGTACAATCTAAGGTATCTTTATCTTATTTCTGCCTTTAGTGGAAATACACAAAAGGATTCATTGTACAAATGGCCTTCTAGTTGTTTTAAAATAGAATTATTTTTCTTTAACCTTCTTGGAGATGCATCTATTGTAGAAGGAGTAGAATATTAAACTTTTTTTAAAAAGCAAGGTATGGTAGGCAGAATAGCACCCACCCCCTAAAGGTGTCCTTGACCTAATCCCCAGAACCTGTGAATAGTTAGATTACATAAACAAGTGAAATTAAGATTGCAGAAGGAATTGAAGTCGCTAATTAGCTGTTCTTAAACCAGGAAGGTTATTCTGGATTGTGTGGGTGGCCCCAGCATACTCATGAGGGTCCTTTAAACATGGGGGAAAGAAGACTGAAAAGTCAGTGTCAGAGTAAGTTACGTTAGAAAGACTCATTCAGTCATTGCTGGATTTGAAGATTTAAGATGGCCCAGAGCTGAGGAATGCTGGTAGCTCTAGAAGCTCTAGAAATTTCCTATCTTTTCGATAGGAAATTTATTCTCCCCCTAAAACCTTCAGGGGAGAAGTAACAGTTTTGTCACTGAAACATTTGTCATATTTCTGACTCCCAGAACAGTAAGGTTGTGTTATTTTAAGTTGCAAAGTTCGTAGTAATTTGTAATGACAGTGTAGGAAACTAATATACCAGGTAACCTTTTCTCAAAATGAAACTTTTCATAGGAGCCGCACATGAAACATAAAAACAGAGCTGCACTGATTGAAGGAGGGCTGTGACATAGTCATGAAGGAGTGTCCAATGGAACATCCAGGGGTGTGAATTGAATAGTATGGAAACCACTTTTATAAATGTCCCAGTTTAATAAAAGCTATTTAAGTTTCAGCCAGTGGGATACTAGCTATGTATTCCCCTGAAATTCCCGCCTTTTGGAGCAAAATCAATTTTTATGTATTTCATTTTTAAAGAAACAAATTAATAAAAAGATAGACAAGACTTTATATTTTAAGCACTGCAGTTGCAACTAGAAAGGGGCAAATAGATTAACACATGTGGGCAGCCTCTTTTTGCATGGAATCTAGCAGAAACTAGGAGGAATAGTAATGATTCATTCTTGTTACTTCTTAAGCTCTGCCAGTAGAAAATGCCTATAAAACAAAGAAGAGGTTTAAAACAAACAAACAAACAAAACCCTGAAGAATAGTACACTTTTGGGCTCAGGGATGGTGCTACTTATTACCAGCATGGCAAACAGATTAACATAATATAGAAACTGCCCAGATTTTCAGCACTTACTTTGTTTATGCATAAATGATTTGAGGGATATCTACCTCACTACTTCATTTTTTGTTTTCTTGCATAATTCATAATTTACTTTATAGTAATAAAGTAAAGTATAGTATAAAGTTTAGTATTACTATATTATATAGTATTACTATACTATATAGTATAGTATAAAGTTTCATCTACATGTCAGCAGTTTCCTTATCAGTAAATAAAGGCCTTTAGTATTTTTATCACATAATAACTTATCTTAGTGCTTTCAGTTTCAATAATAAATGCTTCTTCCTTAGGTATGTAAATTCTCATTAATTTTCACCAAGGTTCATAAAAATTTAATTCTCTCCTTTTATATTCTAAAATTTGTTACTCGAGAATGATTTGGAGAGAAAAAGAACTAAGTATATTGTATTTTTCAGGGTGATGATGGAATTCCAGGCCCACCAGGACCAAAAGGAATCAGAGTAAGTGATATTTGTTTGTATATCAGTGTGTTGTTGGTCAAAACAGAGAAAAAGCCAATGAAGTATTATAAGACAAAAGGAGAAAGCACTCATTGAAATACAAAAAAATGTAGTCTTTAAAAAGTTAAAACATAAGAGTTATCTTTACATATCCAGATGTCTATATAAACTAATGCAAGAAGATTTTTTAAGTAGTTTATGGTTAAAAATTACATGATAAATTCTAACAATTTGCCAATTTATAAAAAATATATATCATACAAGTGGTCTAAACCAGAACTTCCCAATCACTGTGATCATCTCAGTCCTTTGGGTTCAGTTACACATATTACATTTGGTTGCTACTTTCCTTAAGCTTCTTTTATTATGCCATTGGAGAAACTGAGTCATTTGTATTATACTATGGTCCACATTCTGAAACAGGCTGATTGTTTACTCATGTCATTTAAATGGTTCCTCTGTTCCCTCATATTTCCTGCATATTGGAGGTTGCCTTGGAAGAGGCACTAGAGAACTTTCTGGGGATTCAGAATGCACTATACACTTAAGATTTGTGCATTTTACAATATGTACATTATACTGCAAAAAAATTTAAAGAAAATAGAAAAAGAACCAAAAACATACCAATGAAAAAGATCCTGCTGTGTTTGTAACCATCAAGTGGATGGCTCAAAACATATCTAAGAAGGATTTATGTACTGATCACTTCAATAAAATTGTGTGGCTTGTGGGGGGAAAAAACACTTTATATGTAGTGCTGCGTACTTAGTACTGAATTACATCTTGTGGCCCAAATATCTGTCTATCTCCCTTTTTGATGCTAGGTTTGATCAGTGGTCTCAGAATTATGAGCCTGATTCTGCCTCCAAAAATTTCCTCTTCAGCTTTCATGTATTGGTTTAGCATCCATTGATGATCATCACCTAGATCAATTTTTTTCATTTAGAATTGCAAACTAACGATTTTTAAAATTCTATTAATCTTTCATTTATTAGCTAGAATTGTAATTTATCAGCTGGAATTCAAGTAGGGTAATGAATTGGTACAACAGCAACTTCAAGTGATGATCAAGGAAGGATTTTATTGTTGTTGTTGTTATCCTTACAAACACATGGAATTTACTGGTTTCAATCAATTATACTCATTATTCATTTTGAAGTCCAAATTATCCCATCTTAAATCTGTACGTGCCCCTTCAAGTTTGTCCCTGTCCTGTATGCTTTTGACAAAATACTATTGATATTTGATAACTTCCTTGCTTTCTGATATAAGACCCTTTAGGCTTATTTTGTACACCTCCTTTTCAAATCATGTTTCTGATTCCAGGTTCTTTTTGGTGAAAAATGTGAATGTTAGTCTGAATGTTAAGGGTTTTCATTGGATTTGTCACTGTTTTGACCTCTTTTTAGTGGACAGGGTTAGGAAATATGTATTTTTAAGAGGAAAAAAATATCATGCATTCATATTACTACTCCTAACTGAAATTTAAAATAAAATTTTTGTATACTTATTCTTTCTTCCTGCCACCTCTCTCTCCCTAAGGTGAAAAACCTTCATTTCAAATGACATTAATATGATTTATTATTTCCTTTAACCTACAATATACCTATCTTGTTTTCAAAATAGCAGTTTACAAATTAACAAAATAACAATTTCAACTTTAATAATAGTAATATAATTCTTAAATGCCATTAATTATTTCTTTGCTTTTGTCTTTTCCTCTTTGAATTGACTAATTTCACAAAGGAATTGTAGTTAAAATACAACATCTGTCCTGAAAAAGTCCAGCCATTATTAATATAATGAGAACGGTTTGTGCAACATCAATGTAACATGGCAGCCAAGGAAAGTGGACTGGAATGTACATGCATGAACAATGACAACTTCACTGTGCCAGTCAGTAGGCACAGTGGACACCACCAAGTGAGCATGTGTATTGCATGGCTGTCATATTAAAATGACTGAGGAAATAGAGCAACAAATCTGCATCAAATTTTGCCTTAAGCTCAAACATTCCTCAGCAGAAACTATTCAAATGATTCAGAAGGCCACAGCTATGGGCACCTGGTAACTGGCAGCTTCATCATGAAAACACACCTGCTCATGCTTCATATCTCATGCAGAGCTGTTTGGCAAAACATCAAATCACCCAGGTGACTCAGTCTCCCTGCGGCCCCAATTTGGAGCCCTGCAACTTCTGGCTTTTCCCAAAATTAAAATCACCTTTGAAAGGGAAGAGATCTTTTTAGACTGTTGATGAGACTCAGGAAATACGAAGGGGCAGCTGATGGCGAATGGGAGAACTGTGTGAGGTCCTAAGGTGCCTACTTGGAAGGGGCCTGAAGTGTCACTATCCTATGTACAATTTTTCTTTTACCTTATATTCTCTTCAATAAACGTCTCTATTTTTCATATTACATGGCTAGATACCTTCTGGACAGGCCTTGTATACTGTTTTAAAGACACTTGAAGTAATTCTTTTCTCTATATGGTTATGTCAGAAATCTGATATACGTTAAGTTTGTTCTTTGTTTTCAACTTTTATTGATTTCTTTTTTACTGCTTTTTTATTTTAATTTTTAATACATTTACATTATTTAATAAGGTATACTCAGAGATGTTCATCATCCATCCTTGCCATCTCCCTATTTTGTTTTCTCCTTTACTCCAGAAATAACCATTTTATCATTGTTTTTTATCATTTTTTGTTTATTTTTTCATTGCTAAGTATCACTACCATTTTTATACCATGGTAGCATATTATATACACCCCTTACACTTTGCTTCTTTTAGTTAACATTATATGCTGGAGACCACAACATATTTCAATGTACAGAAATCTTCCCTCATTATTTTAACAGCTACATGATTTTACATTATGTGGATTTACCATAATTTATTTAGGCATGTCTCTATTGTTCCTAATCTTTAGCTGTAACTCCAATGCTGTGGTCATTTCTAAAATTTAGCAATAATAATGCTGCAATGAATAACCTTGAATTTCATATTTTGTTTAATAATTTCTACTACACTTGGAGTAAATTCTTAGAAATGAACTGCTTCAAAGGGTAAATATATGTGTAGTTTTACTAGATACTTCCAAATTTATCTCCATGGCATTTGAATCCTATTAGCATTATATTAGAGTACCATTTCCTTGTACATTTACCTACAAAGAATATTGTCAAATTTGTATTTTAGCTAATTTTAACAGGGAAATTCATTGAAGGATTTTTTTTGGTGATCACATGGATATTCTCTGAGGCAGATATATTTGCCTTTTCTCCATTCCTTGATAAGTTCAATATTCATCACAAACCTGGGAGATCCACTTTATCTTTTAGAAAAGACATTTCATCTACTAATTTGCCTGCTTTTAGTAAGTACAATGAAGACAATTCACCCTCAAATAGTACTTTCTTTTATAGTTTTCTATAGAGACTTATAACATGTATAGAGATTTTTTTCTGATTTTTAAGAGAATAGTGAGTAGTAATCAATGAGACACATTTTGTCCACTGCATTTCTAAATGCAATTTTTATAATTTCCTTAGGTAGGATATTATTTTATTGTTACTAATTCTTATTTGGTTCAATGAATTTACTTTTTCTCATAGGGTCCTCCTGGACTTCCTGGATTTCCAGGGACACCAGGTCTTCCAGTAAGTAGGATTTGGCTTCTTATTTTTTGAAGATTTTATTTATTTTAGACAGAGGGGAAGGGAGGGAGAAAGAAATGGAGAGAAATATTGGTGTATGGTTGTCTCTGGCACACCCCCCACCAGGGACCTGGGCCACAACCCAGGCATGTGTCCTGACTGGGAATCCAACCAGAAACCCTTTGGTTCATAGGCCAGCACTCAATCCACTGAGCCACACCAGCCAGGGCAATGACTTTTTATTTTTAAGTCCCTTAAAAAGTAATCTAAGATTTCCTTTTTTTATGGCTGAGTAGTATTGCATTGTGTAAAAGTACCACAGCTTTTATATCCCCTAATTTATTGATGGATACTTGGGCTGCTTCCAAATTTTGGCTATTGTTAATAACACTGCAGTGAACATAGGGGTGCCTAAATTCTTTTGGATCAGTGTTTTAGGTTTCTTTTTATGTTTTCCCAGAAGTGAATTCCCTGGGTCATAAGGCAGTTCCATTTTTTAATTTTTTGAGTAAATTTTGTAGTGTTTTCCACAGTGGCTGCACTAATCTGCATTTCAAGAAACATTGCATGAGGGTTCCCTATTCTTTACATTATGGCCAACTAAGCCAGTAGAGAAAGACAAATACCATATGATTTTACTTATATGAGGAATTGAATGAACAAAATAAACAAACATACAAAATAGAAACAGACTGAAGATACACAGAACAGACTGGCAGGTATCAGAGGGGAGGGGCATGAGGGGCTGAGTAAAATAGGTAGAAGAGGGTAAAAGAGAGAAATGGAGTTGGAAGGAGACTAGATTTGGGGTGGTGAACACAACACAGTATACAAAAATGTATTATAGAATTGTATACTTGAAACCTATATAATTTTTATTAACCAGTGCAACCCCAATAAATTCTATAAAGTCTTTTTAAAAGTAATGTAAGAACTTTTATATATGCTTTATATCTCTTTTCAAAGGGAATGCCAGGCCATGATGGGGCACCTGGACCTCAAGGTACCCCTGGATGCAATGGAACCAAGGTGAGATCTCAACTTAAGTTTATGCAATATGCTTGATAATAATAGATTAAAAAAACTAAATCAATATGAGCATTGTTGCAGAAGAGACTGAAGCAAGTAGCTTCATTTCTGGGACATGAAAATGTTAACATGAGTTAACATTTTTCATATACTAAAACATTAATAATGCTTTAAGTATGTTTAAGAAGCTGGGATATTGCATTGGGTTGAAGATTACTTACCAAATCCTTTTCTTACTTTAGTGTAAAGTAGGATGAAAGTTAAAAAGGAATTAGGATATATATGTTTTAAATATTATACCAGTTGTTAAAAGTAATACTTATGAATGTCATTTATTAGTTTTACTTCCTTTAAAAACTAGGTACAGTTTGAGTTTTTAAATATTTCATATTTTAAAATGTTTTTCTTGCTTAATGACATCTTCAAGGAAAATATCCTAAAAATCTATATGTAATACAGCACATCCATTTTAACTATAAACTATTAGTGTGAAACATGAAACTTTGCTCCATCAGTGAAAATAATCAATTTAACAATTAAAAAAATAATGGAGACAACTGTACTTGAATAACAATAAAAAGAAAAAGAAAGCATTACATGTGACAAACATCTTTTCCTGACCCACTGTTATTGTTTTGAGTTATAACTACATTTAATATAAAGTGATAGCAAGACAAAAATGAGGAAAATTTGCTCTTTTTGAAAGATTACATATTATAGCCTTACATATTTTATTTCTTCAGTTTTCTCCTTTTCCTATATGTTAATACAACAATGTTATTATTTTTTGTATATTCTTTTGGTATTTTCCATTTTGCTCTTAATGTTCTGTGAAATTATTCATGAAATACCCTAGATTTTTCTAACTAATGGTATGTGTCAGATTTTATATTAGGACATGTATTTTGAAAAACTCAAATAAAATATTTTACATTATAAAACCTGTATTTTGTGATATTTGTTGTAGTATATACTTGAAAGCAGTAAAATTATTCTTAACACCCAGTATTTCTCCAAATCAGTGTGACCCTTGCCAATAAGATGATGATGATAATAACAATAATAATAAACTATTAGATTTGTGAAGCTTATTTGTGATCTTTATTTCATCTAGAGCAACCTTACATGGACAGGATCAATGTGGAGCTAATATGACAAATAAATATCATGTTAAAAGTGGGTCACAATACATTCTTGTGCCTATTCTAGTTATTTAACAATTTAAAAGGAAAAATAAAATATTACATATGAGAAACATTTTTTCCTGACCCACTTTTCTTGTCTTTAGCCATGCCTTGAACAGCAAAAAGACCACTGGCCAAAGTCTTAAATTTTAATACAAATCATCACCTATAATGAGCATAGTATGCTATATGATTAAAGGGATAGTTTTCTTTCTTTTTGTAAAACCGAACCTTAGCAGATTGCATAGTAAGTTTGTGTCTGAGGCCTCCAATGATATGAGCAACAGATTTTTAAAAAATTGATTCATTATGTATACCTTTATTTTTTTAAGATTTTGTTTGTTTATTTTTAGAGAGAGGGGAAAGGAAGGAAAAAGAGAGGGAAAGAAACATCAGTGTGTGTTTGCCTCTCATGCACCCTACTGGGGACCTGGCCCACAACCCAGGCATATGTCCTGACTAGGAATTGAACTAGCAACCCTTTAGTTTGCAGGCCTGTGTTCAATCCACTGAGCTACACTAGCCAGGCCTACTATGTATACCTTTAGATAAAAAGTTTTTTAATGTTTCTTACTGTGTAACTAATAGAGAAACCCCAGACATGGAACCAGAATATATAGGTTCTTTTATTTTCTGTCTTCTAAACTTGATGTCAAGACCACTTCCTTTCTCTCAGGACCTACCTTTTCCATGTGTACAACATGCTGGAGGGCAATTGGACAATAACTAAAGTCACTCAGATGTAATAATTTTACTCTTTTAGACCTCTGATAAGATGTTTCTAGGATTATTATGGCATATAGATATTTGAAAGGAGGTTGCATTAGGGTTTTTCTACAGCAATTTTAGCTTTTGTTTTCTAAACCAAATGTCCATATTAGTACTTTACAATAGTGAGTGGGAACAAATGGGTGTTTAGGAAACCTAATGACCTGCGATTGTTAGAACTATAGCTATTATTGTCTTCTTGGCAATATTAATGGCATTCTTTCTTACCATCTTTTCCTCCTAGCAAAAAATAATTTAAAATAGTTTACAATAAAATAAAAATTCAATAAGGCAGTTAGAATAAGAATATATATGATACATGTGCAGGAAATTGGGACAAATTATTAACTATTAAATGGGATTATGGTCAGGAATCTGTGATGTGATTGTATCAGAATGAATTTGTCAGAAGTAAATGACTCAGATAGAAGATTTTTTGTTTCTATTTCTTTTACTACATTTTATTTTAATGTGTATTTTTAAAGATTTTATTTATTTTTAGAGAGAGAGAAATATCAGAGAAACATCGATTGGTTGCCTCTCACACACCCCCAACTGGGGACCTGGCCCATACCCAGGCATGTACCCCAACTGGAAATTGAACCAGTGACCTTTCGGTTTGCAGGACAACACTCAATCCACTGAGCCACTGCAGCCAGGCCTTTGTTTTAAAATTTATGATTTAATTGATGAGTAGAGATAAAAGTATCTTAGATGTTTGACATGATGTGGATAGTTAATGAAGTAATTGGAAAATGAAGACTAATGAACTTTTAGCAATCTGTCAGGTTTCAGAATGGCTTTTACAGAAGTGTTTTCAATAAATTATTGTTTGTTGGTATAATTAAGCTTTGTTTCTTGTTCTTCCATGCTCTTTCTTTTTAACTCTTTCTAGGGAGAACGTGGATTTCCAGGCAGTCCCGGTTTTCCTGGTTTACAGGGTCCTCCAGTAAGTTATAAAAGTTGGGATTATAATGAACATAGGAGTTGACAGAAGAAGCAGAAGTGTAAAAAAGTGAGCTCAATGCATTCATGTAGAACAAAGTAGTACATTTTAAAGTAGTAAAGTAGAAAATAATTTTTTTGAAAAAGAAGTTTGTAGTATAGCCCTGTGCTGGGTAAAAGCAAAGATTCTATGTTGTTTAATACAGAGAAGGGCAAAAGTAGGTTTACAATTGTAAGAATGTTCAACACAGAGTTTATTTTGGTATTGTTATTTATTATTGTATTATTTTCCATAGAAACAGCTGTAAACCTCATTTTGTCCCACCCTACATAAATGTCATCTTTAAGTATCCTAACATACATTGTACTCAGAGTGACCCTACAAAAGTCTATTCAATTTTAACTTTATTTGGAAAGCCTTGTATCTTTTTGCTTGCTCTGCTCTCATATTTACATGTATGTATGTATGTATTATATATGTTCATATATAAAATAATATTTTTTCTTAATAATAGGGACCTCCTGGGATTCCAGGTATGAAGGTAAGCATCTCATGCTGGGAAGGTAAACATTTTAAATAAAATATTTGGAAAGCCTGCAACTTCAGTTGGATAATGTCTGACTTGTCTTTTTTTTAATTACATTAAATTAAATCAAATTAAATTTTTATTTAATTATTTTTCAACTACAATATTCTGTCTTTTACTCCCATCCCAGCTCACCCCCCCCATGCCTCCCACCTCCCTCCCATTTCCATCTCCCTTAGTTGTTGTCCATGTGTCCTTTATACTAGTTCCTGTAAATCCTTCCCCCTTTTCCCCTGAAATTCCCTCCTCTCTCCCCTCCGGTCACTGTCCCTCTGTTCTCTATTTCAGTGTCATTGTTTTCATTTTGCTTGCTTGTTTGTTTTGTTGTTTAGCTTCCTGTTAAAGGTGAGATCATATGGTATTTGTCTTTCAACCCTGGCTTATTTCACTCAGCATAATGCTTTCCAGTTCCATCCAAGCTGTTAAAATGGGTGCAGTTGCACACTTTATAAGATCTCCTTAAGTCATCTCTTTTATTCCTATGCTTTTTAGTACCCCCTATGTGCTCATACACTTGCAAATGTGTATATCATATGCACATGTCTTTTCTGAAACCTGTCCTCATTGCATTTTGATACAATTGACCACCTGCTCTCTGTAGAAACACTTTTCCCCTGTATTCTGTGACATTATACTTCCCTGATTCTTCCCCTGCATCTCTGATCATTCTGCAGTCTTGTATGCAAGCTGATACTGTTCTATCCAGCAGGTATTAGGGCACAGTTTGACTCTTCTCTTCTATGCCTAGCAATATTATTAATGCACACAGTATTGATTATTTAGTTACTGAATAGCAACATTTTTATCTCTAAAACAAACTTTTCTTTTAACCTAGATGCCTCCCTGATATCTTGATTCAGATATTTCCCAGACATTCAAATTAGCATGTTCAAAGTTAACCCAGAACCCCAAATAAAACTTTTCTTCCCTCTGGCTTCTCTATCTTTAAAATTCACATCACTATGTATTATGTATAACATGAGCACCAAACCTGAGAGTGTTTACATATTTTTACTACTTCACATACCTCTACCTCCTCATTCCATTATTTCACTAAATACTGTGAATTTTTCCTATAAAATATATCTTAAATTCACCCATTTCTACTGTCACCACACTAACCATAACATCTCACTGGACTATTGTAATAGCCCCTTAACTTGTCTGTCTGTCTGTCTGTCTCTGTCTCTTCTTTTTTTGTAGTACCCCTGACCTTTGAAACAGATTTCATCTCTACAAAACAGCCAAGAATGATCTTGTAAAAATGTAAATATAATTTAATCTTCCTGCTTATAAGCCTTCAAGAGTTACCCATTGCATTTAACAAGGTCTATCTACCATTCTTTTCCATGACCTATACAACCTGCATATTCTGGGCCCTGCTTACATTCTCAGGTGTATCTTTAAACCATTTTTCCTTTGGCTTACCAATTACCCCACTCTTTATTACATTGTTGGAATGTTCCAAACTCTTCCCTTTGAGGGTCCTTTCTTTGTACATGCTATTTTCACTACCTAATACTCTTTCTTCAACTTTACCTACCTGACTCATTATTCTTTAGCTCTCAGCCTGAATGTTACTTTCCCAGATTGCCCTTTTGTGAATACCCACATTAAATTAATTTTCTTTTCTATTTTTTAATTGAAATATATTCCACATATAACATTGTGTAAACTTAAGGTATACAACAAGTTAATTTGATATATTTATATATAACTATCATTATAACAATAATTAGCACCTCTGCCATGTCACATGATTATCATTTCTTTCTAATCCTCCACTATTTCTTTATCATGTACCATGATGTTTTTCTTTATTGCCCTTAATGGAACATTTGGTCATCTTACTTGTTTTCATATTATGGTCTCCATTTCCCCAGTATATTGTTACCACCACGAGAACAGAGGTCTTGTAAATTTATGTTTTTCATTACTGAGTACTCAGGACCTAACAGTTTTGGGCAAATATTAATATTTAATAAATATTTTAATGAATAAGTGAAAGTACCACAGGCTCTTAATAAATTGATTGTACTTGAGTGTTCTCTTTCCACTTCCTTACTTCCCTTTAAAAGGTAAATTTATTCATGTTAATTACTGCATTTGCCTAACCACAGGATATTTATGTGACAAATTGAATTCTCAGATCATTTTTTGTGCCCTTGGTAGTTTTTATGTAGCATAACTGTGATTGATAACTTTCGTTGATGGTTTCTTTCAGGGAGAACCAGGTAGTATAATAATATCATCACTGCCAGGACCAAAGGGTAATCCAGGATATCCAGGTCCTCCTGGAGTACAAGTAAGCATCCAGTGATTTTCTTCTCTGCAATACCGATTTAATCACATCACAGCATCATATTTTTTTTCTTTTCAGCCTTTAATTATAGGAACTATCATCTAAAGTTTGATAGACATTGCATGTACCTTCTATCTGAAGATAAAAGCAACCTGGACCATGGAGAATTTTAAAAAGTACTGCCTTGTTCTCTTACTTTAATATCCAATCTCCACAGAAATACTTGTGGTGTTTGGCAGTAGAAATAGGCTTCTATGTTTTTATTCTTGTACTGTGGGGATCAGTAGAGTAGCAGGAATATTCCTGATGCTTGTAAATTATCTGGTTAAAAATAAAATCAGATTTTTTTCTCATTTAAGATATTAGAAGATATCATTTATAACACTATCAGTTATGCATAATATATGAACGTATTTTAGGCTGAAGGAGTACAATGTATATATCAATTATAATCTTAAGAAAAACATTGTGTTAGCCTACAGATAACATATGCATAGAAACAGCAATAAATTTAGCATATTTATAGATTAGGAAGTCAGTTTCTTGAGGTTTATATTTCATGATGATTGGTCCCCAAAATAATAATCAGTACTTTCTAATATTTGATCACTAAGATAACCTGTTGGGGACTTTTTTAATTACCTTCTGATATCATACTTATAAGCCATCCATATGCCATTAAGTACTCTCAATCTTACCCTTTTCCTTTTTTAAGTTTCATTATGTAATATTTGAAACTACAGAAGAATGCAATATATATATATATACACATATATATCCATATCTATATCTATATATATGTCTATTTGTGTATATAGATAGATGGATAGATAGATAGATAGATATGTTGAGAAGCATAACTACCGAATGAACACCTGTGAACTTAGCACAGCATATAAGAAATAGAACATTAAAAATGACTTTTAATTAACTTGCGGTTTCTGCTTTCTCTGAAGACATAACTATCCTGTGTTTTCCACTGGTTCTTAAAAATAGTCTTACTACATATGCATATGTCTGTAATATGTAAAATATCTGGCTTTGCTTTTATTATTTTTTCAGTTTATTTTAATTTTTATTTTTGTTCAAGTACAGTTTTCTGCCTTTTACCTCCATCCTAGCCCACTCCTCGAGCCCTCCCCACCACCCTTCCCTTTCTACTCGCCCTTGTTATTGTCTATGTGTCCTTTATACTTATTCCTGCAAACGCTTCCCCTTTCCCCCTGAAATTCCCTCCCCTCTCCCTTCTGATCAGCCTGTTCTCTATTTCAGCGTCTTTGGTTATATTTTGCTTGTTCGTTTTCTTATTTAGGTTCCTGTTAAAGGTGAGATCACGTGGTATTTGTCTCTTACCCCCTGGCTTATTTTGCTTAGCATAATGCTTTCCAGTTCTTTTAAAATAATATAATATTTATGTGGTTTTCTACAAATTTTTCTTTTTTACATGTTAAGGTGCATCCATATGATTGTATGTGGCTCTAGTTTATTCAGTTTCACTTCCACAAAACATTTCACTGTGTAAACATACTACAATTTGTTTCTCTAGTCTCCTATTGTTGAATATTTGTGTTGCTTTGGGATTTTTTAATTAAAAAACAATCCAGGATTTATACATATATATAGAATTGCTAGATTTCAAAGTAGTCAAATTTTCAAGATTTTAAGATGCAAAATGTATTCCACAACAGTTGTCATTTTCTTGTTGTTTGTTTGTTATTCCTACCTCCCTTATCATCTTTAATCTTATTTTTTAATTTTAAAATTATAAAAACCATCTTGAAACTAATAGCCTTTCCCTTCCCAGTTCTAGCATAAATAGCCCCACTCAAGGCCCATCTTTATCACTTTATTTTCTAAAACTTCCTTATAATATGTTTGCCCGACATTTTTTATCTACCACTGTAAGACAAGTATTCTAAAATCTGCTTTTATGCAGAATTTTTTATAGTTACTCAATCCATTTATTCTTACATATTTCAATGGTTATGACATTGCAGAGCTATAGAACTATAGAACAGAATTCTGGCAACTACTAAAGTTTAAATTTCATCCACTTAGTTCATTGTACAATACAGTGAAGGTTTTATTTTATTCTCTTTTCTTTTCTTCATTTATAACAGGGCCCAGCTGGTCCTGTTGGTATACCAGGTCCATTTGGTCCTCCAGGACCACCAGGTTTGATGGTAAGCTTACTTGTATAATTTCATTTCTACCTCTTTTATTTTTATTTCCTTCACAAGAATTCATATTATGTGTATTATAATATAAATATACTTGATTATAATGCATTTTAATGTTCACAATCTAGAATATTCTTATAAGAGATTTTACTATGTAATCATGAATAATGCATGCTAGGTAATTGCTCCTTTGAATTAATCCTGGTTCAAGAGGTAAAGCCAAGACTTAGATATGACACCAAGGTACAATATTTAAATAAATTGGTCCTGCAATTTCAAGAGGTGATACATTTTGGCAGATAAATGCCTATTTAACTTTTAAAACTTTGAAATATTCTCAAAAGTTTGAAGTCAGATAACATAAAAATATAAAACTGGACTAAAACATTGAACACATACTATTTATTGATTTAATTTTTTCTCTTTTCACTTATTCAAAAACAAATAGGTTATCCTTAAATCATTCATGCTCAATTTTAACTTAATGTATTATCATTTTCCTGAGATACAAATTTACAGAATCTCTTGGAAGTAATAATTTCATGGCTCTAGGTTTAACAACACTGTTAACATTCTATTTTATTTTACTTATTTTTTATTGAATTTATTGTGGGTGACATTGATTAACAAAATTATACGTGTTTTAGGCACATAATTCTACAACACATAATCTATACACTATATTCACTATATTTTGTATTCACTGCTCCAATCAGGTTTCTGTCCTATTTATCCCTCCTATACACTCCTTCACCTCCTTCCACCCACCTCCCCCAAGGAAAGCAACACATTGTTGTCATTTCCCATGGGTTTTCTCTTTCCTTTTTTACTCCATCCCTGCACCCTTCTCAACCATACCCACCCCATGACAGCTGTCAGCCTGTTTTCTGTCTACAAGCCTGTCACTGTTCTACATGTTAATTGATTTTGTTCACTAGATTCCACATATGAGTAAAATCATATGGTACTTGTCTTTGTCTCACTGGCCTATTTCACTTAACATAATGCTCTCCAGGTTGTTTCATATGGTCACAAAGGGTAAAGTTGAGTAGTAGATTCCATTGTGTAAATGTACCACAGTTTTTTATCCACTCATCTGGTGAACACTTGGGCTGTCTCCAAATATTGGTTATTGTAAATAACACTGCAATGAACATAGGGGTATATATAGTCTTTCAAATTAGTGTTTTGGATTTCCCTGAATAAATTCCCAGAAGTAGAATTGCTAGGTCATAAGGCATTTTCATTTTTAATTTTTTGAGGTCACTCCATACTGTTTTCCACAAAGGCAGCACCAGTCTGCATTCCCACCAACAGTGTACTGGGGTTCCCTTTCCTCCACATCCTCACCAATACTGGTTGTTTGTCTATTTATTGATAATAGCCATTCTGACACTTGTGAGATGATATCTCATTGTAGTTTTAATTTGCATTTGTCTGATAAGTAGTGGTGTTGAGCATCTTTTCATATGCTTATCAGCCATCTGTATGTCCTCTTCAGAGAAGTGTCTGTTTAGGTTGTTTGCCAATTTTTAATTTGATTGTTCATTTGCTGGTATTGAATTTTCTAAGTTTTTTATAAATTTTGGATATTAACCCTATATGAAATGTGTCATAGCTGAATATGTTCTCTTATTCAATGCGTTGTCTTTTTACTTTGTTAATGATTTCCTTTGCTGTGCAAAAACATTTTAGTTTGATGTAGTATCATTTGTTTATTTATTTATTTTTTTGCTTCTCTTGCCCAAGAAGATATATCAGAAAAAAACATTTCCATGAGAAATGCCTGAGATTTTGCTGCCTGTGTTTTCATCTAGGATTTTTATGGTTTTGAGTCTAACATTTAAGCCTTTAATCATTTTTGCATTTATTCCTGTGTGTGGTATAAGAAGGTATTCTAGTTTTATTTTTTTAAAGTATTTGTCCAGTATTCCCAGCACCATTACTTGAATTGACTAATTTTACCCAATTATATGTTTTTGCCTCCTTAGCCAAATATTAATTGAATATAAAAGCTTGGGTTTATTTTTGAGCTTTCTATTCTATTTCATTGATGTATAGGTCTTTTTTATGTGAGCACCAAGCTGGTTGGATTACTATGGTTTTATAGTATAGTTTAATATCAGGTATTGTGATTCCCCCAACTTTGTTCTTCTTTCTCAGGATTGCTGTTACCATTCAGGATATTTGGTGGTTCCATATAAATTGTTGGATTATTTGTTCTAGTTCTGTGAAATATGCCATTTGTATCTTGACCACAATTGTATTGAATCTATAGATTTCTTTGGGTAGTATGGACATTGTGTGATATTAATTCTTCCTATCTATGAACAAGGTATGTACTTCTACTTACCTTTTTTCCTTTTTTTTTTTTTACAGATTTTATGTATTTATTTCTAGAGAGGGGAAGGGAAGGAGAAAGAAAGAGAGAGAAACACCAATGTGTGGTTGCCTCCCACGTGCCCCTAACTGGGGACTGGGATCAAAACCCAGGCATGTGCCCTGACTGGGAATCGAACAGGTGACCCTTTGGTTTGCAGGCCTGCACTCAATCCACTGAGCCACACCAGCAAGAGCTGCTTCCACTTATTTTATATTATTTATTTTCTTTCATCATTGCCTTATAATTTTCTGAGTACAGGTCTTTTACCTCATTGGTTAAATTTATTCCCAGATATTTTATTATTTTTGAAGTAATTGTTGATGGGACAGTTTTCTTGGTTTCCCTTTCTGATAGTGCTTTATTAGTATATAAAATGCAATTGATCACTGGATATTTGTTTTATCCTGCTATAATACTTTACTGCATTCATTTATCAGTTCTAGTAGTTTTTTTGGTGGAATCTTTACAGTTCTCTATATACAATATCTTGTCACCTACAAATAATTACAGTTGTATTTCTTCCTTTTCAGTTTGGATGCCTTTCATTTTCCCATCTTGACTGATTGATGTTCCTAGGTCTTATATTTAATAAGAGTAGTGAAATTAGAAATTGCTGTTGTGTTCCCAATCTTAAAGGAAATCCTTTTAGTTTCTACTACCTGGAGTATGATGTTGGCTGTGGATTTGTCATATATGGCCTTTATTATCTTGAGGTATGTTACCTCTATGCCCACTTTTCTGAGAGTTTTTATTATAAATAGGTGCTAGATTTTATCAAATCCTTTTCTGAATCTATTGATATGATCATGTGTTTTTTACCCATCTTCTCTTTTATTTCTGTGGTGTCTCATGTTTATTGATTTGTAGGTACTGTACTGATTTTGCATCCTGGAATAAACTCTAATTGATCATGATGTGTGATCTTTTTAATTTATTGCTAGATCAGATTTGCTAATATTTTGTTGAGGGCCTAAGGAATTTGTTTAGCATCTAAGTTCATCAGAGATATTGACCTATAATTTTTTTCTACCTATTATCTTTATCTTGTTTTGGAATTAGGATAATGCTGACCTAAAATGAGCTTGGGAGTCTTCTGTTCTGATTTTTTTTTGAAAATGGTTGAAAAGAATAGGTGTTAGTTCTCCTTTGAATGTTTGGTAAAATTCAGCTGTGAAACCATCCTGTCCACAACTTTTGTTGGTGTAGATTGTTTATATTACTACTTAAGTTTCACTAGTTGTAATCTGTCTTTTTCATATCTGTTTTTTTCCTGATTCAGTTTTGGAAGACTGTGTGGTTCTAAGAGTTTATCCTATTTGTCCAGATGGTCCAGTTTGTTGGCATATGGTTGTTCATAATATTTTCTTGCAATCCTTCATATTTCTTTGGTGTCAATTGTTACTTCTACTCATTCATTTCAGATTTACTTATTTGAGTCTTCCCTGTTTTTTTTCTTGATGTGTCTAGCTAAAGTTTTGTCAGTTCTCTTCATCTATTCAAAGAACTAGCATTTGTTGCATTTATCTATTTTTTGCTTTTTAGGCATTATTTTTAATTTTTTTCTCTGACCTTTATTATTTCCTTTCTTCTACTCACTTGGGCTTTGTTTGTTGTTCTTTTTTCAAGTTATTTTAAATAAAGTTAGATTGTTTATTTGAGATTTTTCTTGTTTTTTGAGGTAGGCTTGTAATGCTATGAATTTCCCTCATAGGTCTGCTTTCACTGTGTCTCATATAGATTTTGCATTGTTGTGGTCTCATTTTCATTTGTTTCAAAGTATCCTTTCACCTGACTGGTGTAGCTCAGTGGATTGAGTGCGGGCCTGCAAACCAGAGGATTACAGTTCAATTCCCATTCAGGGCACTTATCTGGGTTGCAGGCCAGTTCCCAGCAGGGGACACACGAGAGGCAACCATATATTGATATTTCTCTCCCTTTCTCCTTCCCTTCCCCTCTAAAGATAAATGAATAAAATATTTAAAAAGAAAAAACAAACAACCAAAGAACCAAAATATCCTTTCATATCTTTCTTGATCTTATTTTTAATCCATTCATTGTTTAATAATATGTTATTTATTTCCCATACTATTCTTACCCTCTCCCCTATCTATTTTCTATCTACTGTCTATGCTACTTATTTTCTGTACCTTCTCCCCCCATCTCCTCCTCCCACTCCCCTGTTGCTAACCCTCCTTGAGATCTTCATTTCTTTGTTTCCACTCCTGATCTCGCTGTCCTTTTAGTTTGCTTTTGTTTTAGGTGTGGTTGTTAATAACTGTGAGTTTGTTTCCTTTCACTGTTCATGTTTCTTTAACTTCTTTTTCTTAGATAAGTCCCTTTAACATTTCACATAGTAAGGGCTTGGTGATGATGAACTCCTTGAATTTGATCTTATCTGAGAAGCACTTTATCTGTCCTTCCATTCTAAATGAAAGCTTTGCTGGATAAAGCAATCTTGGTTGTAGAATCTAAAGAACTTGAGACACATGTTCATGAACTAAAGGGGGGAATGGTGGGGGAGGGGTGTGCAGGGTGGAGGGGAATGAAGGTGGGAAATAGAACAAATGTAATGGCATAATCAATAAAATAAAAAATATTTAAGAAAAAAAAAGAAATGTGAATAAAGCCAAATATTTGCAAATTTGTAATTATTTAACAATAATGAGAATAAATAAACTAAGAAAATTTGTCATGTAAAAAAATAATATGTTATTTAGCCTCCATGTCTTTGGGTGTTTTCAGTTTTCTCCCAGTGGTTGATTTCTATGTTCAGACCATTATGGTAAAGAAGATACTTCATATGATTTCAATCTTCCTAAATTTATTGAGACTGTTTCTTTGGCTTAGCGTGTAGTCTGTCCTGGAAAATGCTTCATGTACATTTGAAAACAATGTATGTTCTGCTGCTTTGGAGTGAAATGCTATAAAGGTATCAACTAAATTTATTTGACCTATTATTTCATTTAAGGCCACCATTTCCTTGTTGATTTCCTGTCTGGAATATCTATCACGTGATGTAAGTGAGGTGCTAAAATCCTCTACAATGACTGTATAACTGTCAATCAATCTCTCTTTCTCTCTGTCTGTCTGTTTCTCTCTCTCTCTCTCTCTCTTCATTAAGTTTTGCTTTACAGCCCAGGCTGGTGTGGCTCAGTTGGTTGGAGTATCATCACATAAATCAGGTCATGAGTTTGATTCCTTATCAGGGTATATGTGTAGTTTGCACATTTGGTCCCCAGATAGGGTGCATATAGGAGACTGCCTGTTGATGTTTCCCTCTGGAATTAGTGTTTCCTTCCTCTTCTCTCTCCCTCCCTTCTCTTCTCTGTAAAATCAGTGAGCATGTTTTCAGGTGAAGATTAAAAATAAAAAAAGCTATACTTTACATATTTAGGTGCTCTTACATTGAGTTCATATATGTTTATTAGGGGTATATCCTCTTGTTGGACGGCTCCCTTTATCATTGTGAGCTGTCTTTATTTCTCTCGTACTATAGCCATTATTTTTTTTAAATTTTTTTATTGATTATGCTGTTACAGTTGTTCTATTCCCCCCTTCATTCCCCTCCACCCTAACCCCCATCCCCACCGTTACCCTCCCTTTAGTTTATGACCATGTGTCTCAAGTCCTTTAGATTCTATATTTCCCATACTATTCTTGCCCCCCCATCTATTTTCTATCTACTGTCTATGCTACTTATTTTCTACACCTTCTCCCCCCATCTCCTCATCCCACTCCCCTGTTGCTAACCCTCCTTGAGATCTTCATTTCTATGTTTCCACTCCTGATCTAGCTGTCCTTTCAGTTTGCTTTTGTTTTAGGTGTGGTTGTTAATAACTGTGAGTTTGCTGTCCTTTCACTGTTCATGTTTTTTTAACTTCTTTTTTCTTAGATAAGTCCCTTTAACATTTCATATAATAAGGGCTTGGTGATGATGAACTCCTTGAATTTGATCTTATCTGAGAAGCACTTTATCTGTCCTTCCATTCTAAATGAAAGTTTTGCTGGATAGAGCAATCTTGGTTGTAGGTCTTTGGATTTCATGACTTGGAATACCTCTTTCCAACCCCTTCTTGCCTGTAAGGTCTCTTTTGAGAAATCTGCTGACAGTCTGATGGGGACTCCTTTGTAGGTGACTGTCCCCTTAGCTCTTGCTGCTTCTAGGATTCTCTCCTTCATTTTAATTTTGGCTAATATAATGATGATGTGCCTTGGTGTGTTCCTTCTTGGGTCCAACTTCTTTGGTACTCTCTGAGCTTCCTGGATTTCCTGGAAGTCTATTTCCTTTGCCAGCTTGGGGAAATTCTCCTTTATTATTTGTTCAAATAAGTTTTCCAGTGGTGGCTGTGCCTTTCCCCCCTTCTGGTACCCCTATAATTCGGATGTTGGAGCGTTTAAAGATGTCCTGGAGGTTCCTAAGCCTCTCCTCATTGCTTTGAATTCTTGCTTCCTGACTCTTTTCTGTTTGGCCATTATTTTCTTTCTTCTGGTCCACTCCATTGATTTGAGTCCCAGTTTCCTTTTCATTGCTGTTGGTGTCCTGTGCAATTCCATTCATTTCAATTAGTTTCGCCTTCATATATTTGTCTAATTTGTGGGTATAATCAACCAGTTCTGTGAGGATCCTGATGACCAGTGTTTTAAACTGTGCGTCTGAGAGTTTTGCGATTTCTTCATTGCTTAGCTCTATGGGCTCTGGGGCTTTGAGATATTCTTGGGACATTTTTGGTCTGTTCTGGCCCTTTAAGTGTGAGAAGCGGTGCCTTGGACTCCCAGGTCGCTGGGTTGTGACACTGTATGTGGGGGCGTGGTCAGAGCGGGGAAATGGCGGCGCCCTCTACTGCTGCTTGCAGCGGGGACCCACTGGTCCTGGTCCAACCGCCCACTCCCTCGCCTATCCGCTCGCGCACAAATGGGCGACCACAGTCAACAAGCAGCACCGCTTCCCCACTGTCCCCTCCACGGTCGCTCACTAGGTCCAACCCTGTGCCTGGATTCCGCGCCTGAGTCCATCTGACCGAGTCCTCCTGTGCAACACCTCACCAGCCGCTGGTTTCGCCCCTTACCGGTCAGGCTGAAGAATTTGTTGTTAACGGACTTCCGAAAAGTTCAATTTTCTGTGTTCTGGCTGTGTTTTCTGTTGCTAATATTTAGTTGTCTCTAAACTTGGTTGTGTGAGAAGGCACGGCACATCCACCTATGCCTCCATCTTGGCGGAAGTCAAAATTATACCACATTTCATAAAACTCAAAACAAATTAAGAACTGTAATGTAGAAGAAAAATTACATGTGGTAAAACAGATACCAACACTATGTTAAAATATTTTAATGTTTATGAGTGTATACTAACAGCTAAGCATAACTCATGGGACCAAAACATCAAAAAAGAAAATGAAACAAAAAAATTATGACACATATGACCATATCTAGAATGTTACTCAATCTTTAATCAAGTAGTGACAAATCCCTTAAAAATGTTATCTATAATTAGAGAATTGTCTTTTGCTACTTAAATTAACCTGTACTTCTGATATGAGAAAACTGATGTTTGTTGACATTAACTTTTGTACTTATATTTTGCACTGGTGTTATCCTCTGTTTCTACCCACCCTTGCATGTCTTCAGCATCCCACTGGTATCCTCTCATAAGAAGTCTCCACATTCATCTACTTTGTTTAAATCATTTAAAATGTGTGTCTCTGACTAGAAAGCAATGAGAAAAAAACAGAAAATATTTTTGGAAGAGCTTTTCAGTCTTCACATTTATGAAACTAAATAATTTTTTAAAGTCTTATTAATATTATACTTGTTTACTTTTCTGTGTCTTTTAATCTTAGGGCCCTCCTGGTCCACCAGGACATCTAGGACCAAAGGTATTTTCTTTTTCTTTACATTTTTTGTTTGTGAATTCTTGTTTTATTGTCAGTCTCATTGTCAATGAGATTTTAAACCAAAATCTCTTTCTTCAGGGGAATACGGGCTTAAATTTCCAAGGACCCAAGGGTGAAAAGGTGAGTAAAGAAAAAAGGGGATCATTCAACCTTAAGTTTTCTCCTTCCATTGTCATTTGAACTTGTCATTTTGCTTTTTGTCTCTGGCTTTGTTTGCGTGTTATTGTCTGTATAAATTATTAAATATCACTTTCCTTTTTTTTCCACTTTTTAATTTTATCCTGCAAATAGGGTGAGCAAGGTCTTCGGGGCCCTCCCGGGCCACCTGGCCAGATAAGTGAGCAGAAAAGACCAATTGATACAGAGTTTCAGAAAGGAGATCAGGTGAGTATACAGAGAGGAATATAATGAACAACTTACAATGAAAGTGGCATTTATTCCATTAAAATGCATTATAAGGTAAATATGGTTATGTGAAAGTATTTTCAAAATAACAAAATGTGAGATAATTACATTTTTAAAGAGCTTTATTGATATATAATGTACATACCATAAAATTTACCCATTTAAAATATATGATAACATTTATTAGTATATTTACAGAGTAATGAAACTGTCACTACCCTCTAATTTTATCACATTCTCATTACCCCTCAACCATTAGTTGTGACTCTCCATTTTTTCCCCAAATTTTCCAGCCATAGGCAACCACTAGTTTACATTTTTCCATGTAGATTTCCCTATTCTTGAAATTTCATATAAATAGAATGATACAATATATGGTCTGCTGTGCCTGGCTTCTTTTACTTGATATAATGTTTTCGAGTTCATCCATGTCATAGCATCTATCAGTATTGCATTCCTTCTTATGGCTGAACAATATTATTTTCTATACATATTCCACATTCTGTTTACCCATTCATCAATAGATGAACATTTGGATTGTTTCCATTTTTGTCTATGATGAGTAATGTATTCATGTACAAATTACATCATGGAAAGGTGGATTATAATAGTCTTAGATGACTATGTTCTCTACATTTCATTGATATTCAAGTAAAAAGATGGTATTATCTATAAACCTGTTGTGTTTAGAAATAATTATCTTAAATATTGCTTCTTTCATAGTAGATAAGGGGATCAAACATGTCTTGTATAGTATAGTATAGTGGCCCACCCTTGAATAGAGTATGTGCATTTGATGCATACTTTATTATTATTATACTTTATGTATTGTGTATTAAAGTAATACACACTTTATGTATTATTTAGTACATATTTTAATACAATGGATTTAGTTTACTTAAAGGCTAATAAGGAAGTTAAGAATAAAGAACAAATTGTACTGAAATTCTACCATCAATATGGATTGGATCATTTAATTCTCTGCCAAAATGTATATATCATATATAGCCCTCACATCTCCTGGTTTTAGAGACACTTGCTTTTTACAAAACATTTTATAAGAAGGGAAAATTATCAATATTTTTATTTTAAATCTTGTTTGTTACTTACCTCCAAACTTGGCTTAAGTATACACTAAAAATCAATTGATATTAGCACCAATTTGAAAGAATATATGCACCTGTATTCATAACAGTGTTATTTACAATAGCCAAGATCTGGAAATAGTCCAAGTGCCCATCAATATATGAGTGGATAAAAAATCTGTGGTATATTTACACAATGGAATGCTAATCAGCCATAAAAAAAGAAGGAAATCTTGTCTTTGCAACAACTGTGGATGGACCTGGAGATTATTATGCTAAGTGAAATAAGCCAATTAGAGAAAGTCAAATACCATATGTTCTCATATGTGGAATCTAATGAACAATATAGAAACAAATACATAGATACATGGAACCAGACAGCTGTCAGAGGGGAGGTAGCAGGGGTGGGTCCTGGATAAAAGAAAGGGAAGGGATTAGCCAGAGAACATATATGCAGAACCCATAGACACAGACAATAGTATGGTGATGGCCAGAAGGAAGGGAGGGGTAGGGGCATAGGGGCAGGAATGAGGGCATCTGTAATGGTGTAAACAGCCCTGGCTGGTGTGGCTCAGTGGTTGAGTGTCACCCTGTGAATCAAAGGGTCGCAGGTTCTATTCCCAGTCTAGGGCACATGCCTGAATTGCAGGCCAGGTCCCCAATAAGGGGGTGGACAAGAGGCAACCACATGTTGATGTTTCTCTCCCTCTTTTCTCCCTCCCTTTCCCTCTCTAAAAAAATAAGTAAATAAAATATTTTAACAATTTGTGTCAACAATAAAAATAAAGTTAAAAAAGAAAAAATAAATAAAAATAAGTTACCAGGGATGGTTCTAGGTCCCTTTGCCTAGCAGATTTCAACTTTGAATTAGAAACCTCTTATTATCTTTGGCTATACTACATAAGTCGTAGTTCAGTGTGATAAAAACATTTCTAGCTAACTGTACTATTAACAGTATTTTTAAAAAGATTTTATTTATTTATTTTTAGACAGAGGGGAGGGGAAGGAGAAAGAGAAGGAGAGATATCAATGTGTGGTTACCTCTTTCATGCCTTCTACTAGGGGCCTGACCTGCAACCCAGTCATGTGCCCTGACTGGGAATCAAACTGCCATCCTTTGGTTCACAGGCCAGTGCTCAGTCCACTGGGCCACACCAGCCTGGGCCTATTAACAGAATTAATAGTGCTTTCCTTTCCCCTACTACGGCATAGGGACTTCCTGGTGACCGAGGGCCTCCTGGACCTCCAGGGGTGCATGGTGCTCCAGTAAGTAACCTAAAATTCTTCAGCATCATGTAATGTAAATTAGTATTGTTATACAGTATTCCATGAAGCAATGTGAAACTATTTTTGTGTTTACAGGGTCCTTCAGGTGGTATGAAAGGGGAGAAGGGTGAGCAAGGAGATCCTGGCAAAAGAGTAAGTGTTATAATTACTAATACACTTTGCAAAAAGTGTTAAGTATATGTATGTAATTTCATTCTTTCCTCTTAAGTCCTACTTTCATTGTTTCAAAATATCAGAATTGAATAAAATATTATTTTATTTATTGTGATATTGGAGACTAAAACATTCACTTAATTTAGTCCAAGGCAGGAATAAAAGTTGTTGCGTTCTTGAATCTCATACTTCCTAAATAACAAATTTTTATTCTTTCATTTCTTTGAATCCTATAGGGTAAATCAGGCAAAAATGGAGAGAATGGCCAACCAGGAATTCCAGTGAGTAAAGTCCATTCCCCTCAAAAGAAAATAAAAAAGGCAAGGTCAGAAAGCAGGATCACAAAGAAACTTATATTTGGAAATAATTTAAATCAATGGAAAATACTGTCTTTCTCTTTTGAATATGAATTTGATATTCCTCTGTTTTTAAGTTACATTTTTTAAACCAAAATCTGACTTTTAAAATTATATTTTTAATTAAGTTTATTGCAGTAACATTGGTTAATAAAATTATATAGGTTTCAAGTGTACAATTCTGTAATACATCATCTGTATCTTTCATTGTATATTTACAACCCAAAGTCGAATTTCCTTTCCTTACCATGTTTGACCCACTTTACCCTTTACTGCTCTCTATCCCTTTCCCTCTGGTAACCACCATACTGTTGTCTGTGTGTATGAGTTTTTGTTTGTCTTGTTTGTTCATTTATTGCTTTTAGTTTTATATCTCACATATGAGTGAAATCATATGGATCTTCACTTTTTCTGACTGATTTATTTCACTTAGCATGATATTCTCAAGACCCATCCATGCTGTTGGAAATGGCAGTGTTTCATCTTTTCTTATGGCTGAGTAAGATTCCATTGTATTTATGTTTGTGTGTGTGTGTGTGTGTGTGTGTGTATTTAAGTCAGACTTATTGATATATAATGTGTATACAGTGAAATGAACCATTATTAGCATACAGTTGTATAACAAACTCCATAGTCATAAACAATTTCATCATCCTCAAAAGTTTCCTCACACTCTTTTTTTATAGTCATCCCCTTCCCACCACTCCACCCAAAGCCCCCAGCAAAAATGGATCTGTTCTTTATCCTTATAATATTTCCTATTCCAAAGTGTCATATAAACAGAATCATATTGTATATAGCAGTTTTTTTTATTTCAGTTTACATTCAGTAGTATTTTGTATTAGTTTCAGGTGCACAGCATTGTGGTTAGGCAGTTATACTTTACAATGTAGTTCCCCCTATACTTCAGTCACTCATCTGGCACCACACATAGTTATTGAATATTTTGACTATATCACCTATACTGTAGTACTGTACATCCCCATGACTGTTTTGTAACTACCAATTTGTACTTATCAATCCTGTCATGTTTTTCACCCAGTCCCTCAACCCTCCTCCTTTCTGGCAACCATCAGTCTGTTTCTATTTTGTTTGTTCATTTATTTTGCTCTTTAGATTTCACATATGGACCTAAAAGGTATTATGCTAAGTGAAATAATTCAGACAGAAAATCACAAATACCATATGATTTCACTTATATGTCTATATAGCCTTTTGAAACAGTATTCATTTATATAGCATAATACATTGTACTGCATGTCAATAGTTTAATAATTTTTATTGCTGAGTAGTATTAGTTTGTATGGGTATACCAGGGTATGTTTATCTATTTACCTATTGAAAGATATTTTGGTTGGTTTTGGTTTTGGCCATTATGAATAAAATTGCTAAAAACATTCACATACAAATTTTCATGTTAGCATAATTTTTTTTTCAGGAAAAGTTTTGACAGATAATTCTAATTACTACAAAAAGAGGAAAATTTAACACATGTGAGTCCAGCAATAGTATTTCAAGAAGCCTCACTATTAAGAGTATCCAAAGTAGATATTAAAAGAATTTTTCACTGACAGATAAGAAATTTGATGACATTTGGAGAGAATTCCAAAGGAAAGAGAGTATTTTTATCTAGACTGGAAATTGGAAGCAGTAAAATTACGTAAATTTGCTTACATATGATTTTGCTAAACAGGCAGCCCTCAGTTTATAAATTCCAGATTCACAAATGACTTAAACATATAAAATGACTTAAGAGGAGGTAAATGCAGCACCTCAGTTTCTGACTTCTTTGATTCATCATTAGGCAGCCATGATATTTAACAATTTGCCTTATTGTTTTCTGCAGATATTCCCCAGGGAGAAGGCTGTTCTCTGTATTGGGAGATCTCAAGTTAGGTCAAACAAAGTTAGTTTTGCTAGTGGAGTCTTTTAGGGAACCACCAGCCAAGTGAATTAATGGCACTTCTCTGGGCAAGGAGCTTTGAAGAAGCTCTAACTCAGTATTTTTTTCCCTTCCAATTGCTGCCAGGCCACCATTTTTAACCTTGATTAAATGGTATTAGTTTTCAAGGCTACTCTGGAGCTCAGGATGGGTGATGGGAATAGAGCAAGTTAAAATGTCACTCGTTTTCAATAAATGCTTCCTGTATTGCTGTAAGCTTTGGTTAATTTCTGGTGTTCTAAAAAAGTTGACTCTGGCCATTTTTATGGAAAAGAGTTTTTTTTTTAAGGTGGCCCTTACCCCACCATATTTTGTTGATGTTACTCTGTCGTCTGTTTTAAAGGGTCTGCCTGGTGATCCTGGTTACCCTGGTCGACCAGGAAGAGTTGGAGAAAAGGTAAGAATTAAAAAAATTTAAGTAACTAGTTTTATTCTCATTAACATAATTCTTTTCTCTCCCAATGTTGAGTTATAAACAATAAAGTTCTCAGAAAAAGTTCTCAATAACTACCTTTTATATTTAAAACATACCTTCTTTACCCATCTTTTGATTTTCCTCCTTCTTCTAAGTTTTCATCCATTATTCTAAATCACAGTCCATGTGGTGGAAGTAGATAAAGAATTGTTGAACTTCAGCCGTTTCCATTGTGAAAAGTTGCTGCCTTTGCTTTGAACATGTATCAGCAAAACTTTGTTCTCCAGAAAGAAAACTCAGCACCATTTTAGTGAGGTCCTCCTACTGAAAAGACCTATAAGCCGTGGATCTAGAATGTCTTCATTAAGTATTTCCATGTTCTATAAAATTATTGCCTAGAAGTCTGTGGCTAATTCTTTTTTGTTGTTGTTTATTTTTTTGTTTTTAATTTGGCTATGCAGCCTGACAATTTTTTTAGTTGCCTATTTAAAAAGTGACTTTGAAATAATGTGTGAAGCACTTAATTCCCCTATGTATAGAAGATCACAAAATAACCAGTTTTTAAGTCTCTATGGTCTCTAATTGCTTTTTATGAAAACTAAAACTGAGCCCTGGCTGGTGTGGCTCAGTGGTCTGAGTGCGGGCCTGCGAACCAGAGGATCAATTTTGGATTCCCAGTCAGGGCACATGCCTGGGTTGTGAGCCAGTTTCCAGCAGGGGACCCGTGACAGGCAACCATACATTGATATTTCTCTTCCTCTCTCCTTCTCTTTCCCTCTAAAGATAAATAAATAAAATCTTTAAAAAATATATCTTTAAAAACCCTAAAACTGAAAAGCTTTGTTTTGTAGGCAAGGTGTTACAAAATTAAATGTATTCCGAGGGCACATATTTTAATGGTGGTTTATCTCTAAATTAGATCTAAGTTCTATCTTGGCATAAGAGGCACAACTAGAATAAAGGAAGATATAAATACTCAGAGAGTAAGATTGTTTTTCAAGTATTAAGTAAAGTTATAGTGCAGAGTAACTTCTTTAACTAAAAGGAGCTTATAGATAGTTGAAAGGTTTTTATGAATAAGTCTAGAATGAGAACAGAGGTGTGAGAGAGACATCTATCCTTGGGTTTTGGCAGTGGAGTAATGGTAGAATACTGTGTTCTTCATGCTGTTATAGCTACTGGTTAAGGGTAACATTTTTGTCTGAATTTGCCTGTCTTTAGCTTTTAAATGCAAACTTACAGGAACAATTATGATTTATTAGCTATTTCTGATGATACTTAAGTCCATCAGCTATAACATATCTGTCAATGATGGAAATTACTGCCCTTGACAAATGTTATGACAGGGAATATGGCTAAATGTAAAAAAAAATGTAATGGTTTTAACTAATTCTAGTGGTACCACTTTTTATTCAGTATCTTCTTTTTCTTTTTAATTAATTTTATTTAGTTATTTTTCAAGTACAGTTTTTTGTCTATTTTTCCCATCCCAGCCTCCCCTGCCCCTTGCTCCCCACCTCCCTCCCATTTCCACCCCCCTTATTCAGTATCTTCTTTATAAAATATTTTCTTAGAAATACCAATCTTAAAATCAAAGAGTGTTAGAGCTAGAAATATCTTAAAATCTTGACTTCCAGATAACGCAGACAAATTAATTGCTTTGGTCAAGATCATATAGCTAGTAAATCTGAAAGAACATCACAGGTCTTCTTAGGCTTTAGCTTACTACTGTTTTGTTTACCTTATGTTATATATTTTTGATCTATTTTATAATGGATTTCTCGGTCTTTATGGAACTTAGTTATCTGTTATGTTTTTGAAGAAATGGATATTTTCATGTGATTTTTTACTAATCTACTTTAAAATTGTATTGAATAGGGCCAAAAAGGTGACATTGGCCCACCTGGCCCACCTGGACTTGTAAGTTATTTTTTAGTCTTCATTTACTAAGTTTATTAATGTATTTTCATTTTTATGCGTTAATTATATACTCTGTTCTCTTTCCTAGTAGAACACAAAATTCCAAGTCATTTTCAACTTCTACTGTCTTAAAAATCTTTACATCTAAACATTTCATGATGTTGACTTCAGAGTCTTTGTATTTTTCTGTCTGTGTATTACATCTCCATGGTAAAGTTCCAAAATCATGACATTATGGTTTTTTTTGCATCATGATTGACAAATCATTTATCAGGTAACCAGAGGTGGTACAAGTGTTGCTTACAAAGTTTAAATTAAAAAAATTGTTGGGGAACTAAGAATTGGTTCTTTCCCTAGCAGAACTCAGGGGAAAGGATTTAGTCATAATAGGTTTTCTAAGTTTGTAATTGAGTCACGCCTCTTTTTTTCACTGAATGTGTACTTCTCGGGGCTTTTAATAACAAATCTAGGAAACTATTCTATGAAAGAATAATTGGCCCTGGCTGGTGTAGTTCAATGGATTGAGTATGGGCTGCGAGCTAGCGGGTTGCCAGTTCCATTCCCGGTCAGGGCACATGCCCGGGTTGCGGGCCAGGTCCCCAGTGGGGGCCACGTGAGAGACAACCACACACTGATATTTCTCTCTCCCTCCCTTCCCCTTTCTCTAAAAAATAAATAAAATCTTTAAAAAAAGAAGAATTGGGGAGGAATGTACAGATGTTCTGTCATATTTGCATTTCCATGAAATTTAAATCAAATGTACTTCTAATCTTATTTAGAATAAAATATTATTGCTGCAATTTATAACAGATTGGTTTTCCTTTGGTTGAAATTTGGTAAGACTCTTGACTTTAAACTGCAGTAAAGCTGCAAGGTGCAAGTGCCATAAAACCTGTATGTTCTAATATCAATTTTATTCTTTTTGCCCAGATATTGATACTTAGTATCTTACTAGATTTAATGAGGATATACTTTTGGTTTTGTTAAATATTTTTTCTTTATCAAATGAGATGAAAAATTTTGGTGAATATCAGAAGAAATTGAAAATTTGAAAGTGCAGTTCCCTTCAGCATCTCACTTTCCTCTTTGAATTACTATTCCAATTCTAAGTCCCACAACTTTTAGTGTTCTTCTTTTGTCCAAATATTTCTTATGTCAAATAAAATACCACACTTTGTCAGTAGGTGTTGATTTGTACCTTGGACTGACACTTTCTTAAATCTAGGGCTTATTTACCTTTATAGCTCTTTGAGTTTAATTTCTTTATATTTAGATTATTAACATGAAATCCTTTAGGTGCCGAGGTTCTGAGAAGACAGAGAAAAGGAATAACCAGTCAGTTGATTTTAATCAATAGAGACTTCCTGGAAGAGGTAATTTTTTTAATGAGGAAGGAAGAATGTGGATTGCTGAAGGAAAAGATTGAAGGAAGGCATTACTGATGTTTAAAATGGCATATTCAAAAACAAAGACAAGAATGTTCAAGATGCATGAAGTGACCTTACTTTACTAAAAATTCATCACTAGAAATAGCAGCAGATGAAAAAATGAGAAAGGCATTGGAAGTGAAAAGTGACTTGACACAATTCAGGGTTAAAAATAGCATCAGATATAGTAAAAAGTAGTGAACAATTTTGAATCCTTAAACACAAAACATTGGTTTTTAAACAAGCATATCCTAGCAGTAGATTTGGATTCAAGAGTAAAAGTTCAGCCCTGGCTGGTATAGCACAGTGGATTGATCACGGGCCTGTGAACCAGAGGATTGCGGTTTGATTCCCAGTCAGGGCACATGCCTGGGTTGCAGGCCAGTTCCCAGCAAGGGACCTGTGACAGGCAACCATACATTGATATTTCTCTCCCTCTCTCCTTCCCTTCCCCTCTAAAGATAAATAAATAAAATCTTAAAAAAAAGAGTAAAAGTTCAGAGGTGCTTCTCTTAGTCTAAGAGTGAGGTAAGGATAGGGAGACATTTGAAGTGAAGAATGATCTGATTAGGTGATTGAAATGAATTGAATGTGAATTATAAGATAAGAGACATCTAAAATAATTATAGCTCTCTAATCTTGGAGTTCAGGAGAGTAGTAATATTATTACTAGTTTGAGGCAATTTCTAGTCAGTTGAAGAAGTGATATAGATGTGAATCATAATCTATGTATTAGCCAATGATTTTGCATCAGAGCACTTAGTGAAAATGACGACATTGTGATCATATGTAGTTGTTATGTTACCTTGAGGAGAACAAACTTCTTCCTCTTTGAGTTCTTTAATTTTTTTCTTTTATAATAAAGGTAATTCATAGGCCAGGGATTGGTGTAACTATAGGAGAAAAAGGAAACATGGGGTTGCCTGGCTTGCCTGGAGAAAAAGGAGAGCGAGGAATTCCTGGAATACAGGGTCCACCTGGCCTTCCTGGACCTCCAGGTAAAAGCAGCTATACTAATGTGCTTCTGTTCAGAGCTTTTTGACTAATCACATATAAAACATTATCATACTAGTCCCAGGGTGAACATGGCATTAGACATGAGTACTTTTTAATTGAAAAAAACTTCTCCACTCTTAGACTCTCTCAACAAATTTTTCACCTATACTTAAAAGCAAATCAATTGAATTGATTTTACTTTATGTTTTTTGTTTTTTTAATTATAATTTTTCATTGCCATTTAACTCCCTAAAATCCCCATGCCCTCTGCAATCACCACACTGTTGTTCATGTACATGAATCCTTTTCCATTTTTTCTCAATCCTGCACCATACCCTTCTGCCCTTAGCTGTCAGCCTGCCCTCTATGTATAAGTCTGTCTCTATTTTGCTTGTTAGTTCAGTTTCTTCATTAGATTCCACATATAAGTGAAATCATATGGTTTTTGTCATTCTCTGACTGGCTTGTTTCACTTAGTACAATGTTCCTCAGGTCCATCCATGCTCTTGCAAAGGATAAAATTTTCTTCTTATTTTCAACCAAGGGGTATTCCATTGCATAAATGTCCCTTAGTTGTTTCATCCACTCATCTACTGATGAGCAATTAAGCTGTTTCCATATCTTGATGATTATAAATAACACCGCAACAAAAAAGTGGTGCTTATGTTTTTTCAAATTAGTGGTTTGGGTTCTTCAGATATATTCCCAGAAGTGGGATCACTGTATCAAAAGGCAGACTAGTTTTTAATTTTTTGAGGTATCTCCATACTGCTTTCCACAGTGAATTCATCAGTCTGCATTCCCACTAACACTGGAAAAGGGTTTGCTTTTCTCCACATTCTCACCAGCACTTGTTGTTTGTTGATTTATTGGTGATAGCCATTGTGACAGATGTGAGATGATATCTCACTGTGGTTTTAGTTTGCATTTCTATGATGATTAATGACATTGAGCATATTTTCATATGTCTATTGATCATCTGTATGTCCTCCTTGGAGAGGAGTCTATTCAGGTCCTTTGCCCATTTTTTAAATTGGATTATTTATTTTTGCAGTGTTGGATTATTTATTTTTGCATTTGTTGACACAAATTCAGGAAACACAGAGTCCCAATCAAGAGGAACCCAAAGAGGCCCACTTCAAGACAAATTATCATTAAAATGGCAAAATTCCAAGAAAGAGAGAGAATCTTAAAGGCAGCAAGGGAGAAAAAGGAAATAATATGCAAGGGAGCCCTAATAAGGTTAGGTGCTGACTTCTCCATAGAAATGCTCCAAGCAAGAAGAGAATGGCAAAAGATATTCAAAGTAATGAGAACCAGAGGCCTGCACACAAGGCTACTTTACCCAGCAAGGCTCTCAATCAACATAGAAGGCCACATAAAGAGTTTTCCAAACAAAAGAAAGCTAGAAGAATACACCTACACAAAACCAGCTCTACAAAAAATACTTAAAGTACTGCTTTAAGGATAGGAAGGAAAAGAGAGAGACAAAGAGAAAAACAGGTATAAAATGGCAATGAATAAGTACCTATCAATAATAACCTTAAATGTAAATGGATTAAATGATCCAATCAAAAGACATAGAATAGCTGAATGGATAGGAAAGGATGACCCACACATATGCTGACTACAAGAAACCCACCTCAGGAAAAAAGACCTACACAGACTGAAACTCAAGGGCTGGAAACAAATTTTCCAAGAAAATGGCCAAGGAAAAAAAAAGCTGGGGTGGCAATACTCATATCAAGGGGGGGGGGAATAGAACAACTGTAATGGCATAATCAATAAAATATATTTAAAAATATTACAATAAAAAGGGGCCATAAAGAGAGATCCAGAAGGTCACTTCATAATACTCAAGGGAAGAATCCACCAAGACATAAACATTGTAAATATATGCAACCAACATAGGAGCACCCAAATATATAAAGAAAATCTTAGATCTAAGTTCAAGAAAGATATTGACAGCAACACAATTATAGTAGGGGAATGTAACACCCCACTGTCAAAAATAGACAGATTTTCCAAACAAAATATCAACAAAGATATTATGGCATTGAACAATGCCACACATGAAAGGGACTTAACTAGTATATATAGAGCCCTTCATAAAAAAGAAAGTGAATACACTATCTTTTCAAATGCATACGGATCATGTTCAAAGATAGACCACATGATAGAACACAAAACAATGCTCAACAAATTCAAGTAAACTGAAATCATCCAAAGCATTTTCTCCGACTACAAGGGACTGAAATTGGAAACAAACCCCAAGGGAAAACACCCAAAACACTCAAAATCATTGGAGATTGAATAGCATGCTATTAGACCATGAATGGGTCAAGAATGAAATTAGGCACGAAATCAGAAAGTTTCTGGAAACAAACGAAAATGAACTCACAACAACCCCAAACTTATGGGACACAGTGAAGACAGTCCAGAGAGGGAAGTTCATAGCAATACCGGCCTATCTAAAAAAGATAGAAACATTTCAAACAAACAACCTAAACCTACACCTACCAGAACATGAGGAACAACAACAAAGACAGCCCAGAGCAAGTATAAGGAAAGAGTAAAACCAAGATTAGAGCGGAATTAAATGGCATAGAGACTAAAAGCACAATTCTAAGGATCAATGAATCCAGGAGCTTTTTCTTTGAAAAGATAAACAAAATTGACAAGCCTTTAAGCAGGCTCATCAAGAAAAGGAGAGAGGACCCAAATAAACACAATCAGCAATGAAAGAGGAGCGATTACAGTTGACACCACATAAATACAAAGGATTATAAGAAATTACTATAAAGGTCTGTATGCCAAGAAATTTGAAAACTTAGGTGAAATAGACACATTTCTAGAAAAATATAATCTTCCAAAACTCAATGAAGAAGAAGCAGAAAGCCTGAACAGACCAATAACAGCAAAAGAAATTGAAGCACTAATCAAAAATCTCCCAAAACACAAAAGCCCTGCACCAGATGATTTAACAGGAGAACTATATGAAACTTTTAAGAGGTAATCCCTACCCTTCAGAGACTATTTCAAAAATTTCATAATGATGGCAGACTCCCAAACTCTTTTTATGAAGCAAATGTCATCCTAATCCGAACACCAGATAAAGACAAAAAAGAAAGAAATAAAACTTCAAGCTAATATCACTGCTGAACATAGACACTAAAATCCTCTACAAAATATTGGCAACCGCATCCAACAATACATGAAAAAGATCATACACCATGACCAAGTGGGATTCACTCAGGGATGCAAGGATGGTTCAACATTCACAAATCAGTAAATGTAATACATCACATAAACAGAAGCAAAGACAAAAATCACATGATCATATCAAAAGATGTGGAAAAAGTCTTTGAAAAGCTACAGTACGCATTTATGATAAAGACACTCTACAAAGTGGGAATAGAGGGAGCATTCCTCAATATAATAAATGCCATATATGAGACACCTTCAGCCAACATCATACTTAACGAGCAAAAACTATTAACTTTTCCACTGAGATCAAGAACAACACAAGGTTTTCCACTTTCACCACTTCTTTTTTTTTTAATTTTTTAATTTAATTATTGTTCAAGTGCAGTTTTCTGTCTTTTACTCCTATCCCAACCCATGCCCCAGTGCTCCCCACCTCCCTCCCATTTCCACCCCCCTTAGTTTTTGTCCATGTGTCCTTTATACTTGTTCCATTCATTTTTAAAAGAAAAAATGTTTAAAAGGGAACTACCTTAACTTGATGAAACTGTGTACTTCATATAGGAAGTGCAGGGTTGTACAGGAGATGTCATACTTCGTAGTGACACATCAGGAATATTCTCATTCAAGTAAAAAAATAAGATAAAGATACTCAAAGACACCAGTCCTGTTTGTCCTTACACTGGTGATCACAGCCAGTTGTACTAAGTCTGGAAGAAAAAAGAAGTGTAAGAATGGAACAAAAAATGTTGGTTATCCACAAACCATATGATTATCTACCCAGAAAAACTAAAATAATTAAATGACAAATTACCAAGACTTAAACATTTGCAAGGTGGCCAGATACGATTGCATACATAAATAATTTGCTTTGTTCTATACTAGCAATACAAAAATTAAACATATAACAGAAAAAATCAAGTTAACAATAATAATAACAGTAAAATTTACTATAGTAGTATATTAACTAACAAATAAGCACAGCAAAAGATGTATAAGACCTCTTTGCATAATTTTGTAGAAATATTATTAAATAATATAAAATTAATAATAAAATGGAGAGATATACTTAACCATTATTTGATGTTAGACCAGGTGATTCTACCAAATTTAATCCTTAAAGTCAAATTAATCTAATTCAAAATTCCAATGATTTTTTACAATGAAACTAACAAGCTGATTATACAATTCATTTAGAAGAGTAAATTTATCAATATCGTCAAGATGTTTTTTAAAGAACACAAAAGGGTATATCTTCCTTACCAGTTTTTAAAACATTGTAAAGCTGTTGTAATGAAAAGGCTCATCAGTGGTGCAGATAGAGGTAGTGGAACAGAAGAATGTCCAGAAAGAGACACATGGAAAGTTTGAAATGCTTCTTTTTCTTTTGCTAAAGGCTTCATAATGTTTCTGAGATTAAAAGATCTAGGTGTCAAAGAAGAGTGGATGGAGAGTCATTACACATTTCCAAAAGTAATAAAGCTACTTTAAATTAATTCTTTCCCACACTCAGACTGGTACATACAGTATTTGAAACTTTTCCTCCTTTTCTCAGCTGTTAATTCTCATAGGAAACAGCACATAACAGGCATTACACATTTGAGGAAGATCTTATTACTTACTGTCTCACTTAGAACCAAAGTACTATTGCCAAAATATCATTTTCATTATTTCAATTGGTATTTTTTCCTTTTTGTTTTCCATAATGTCTCACAAAACAGCAGAATATACCTCTGAAGACAGGAGGCAGAATAATGCTAGCTTTGTGAATTGTCTCTTTCTATCAGAATCAATGGGTAATTTTTTTTATCTTAGGGATTGCACTTATGGGTCCTCCTGGCCCCCCTGGCTTTCCTGGAGAAAGAGGACAGAAAGGAGATGAAGGTCCACCTGGAATTTCCTTTCCTGGATCTCCTGGACTAGGTGGAAACCCTGGGGCTCCTGGCCTTCCAGGGCTTCCTGGCCCTCCAGGTCCTCACATCCCTCCTAGTAAGCTATTCTTTTCTTGTAAATTCTACTGTCATATTTTGTTTTCATTTATAAGTGAATCTAATTGAAATTTGGCACCATTCTTTGTGTTGCTGATATCTAATAGATGCTATGGCTGCTTCTACTTTGATTTTTTGGTGATTCTTTAATGTTTCAATTTGCTTTTCAAATTTTTGCCAATATTATATTTTCCTTTTGCTTATAGTTAGTTTTATTACTACAGAGAAGTAGCTGTAAAGAAGTCTTTCTTCTAGCCTGTCAGATTTATTTTTTGTTTAGTCTTCTGGGCATTTCACAACAATTAACTTGCTATTCTTTTTTATTCTTATCTCAGGAGATGAGATATGTGAACCAGGTACCCCAGGCCCTCCAGGATCTCCAGGTGACAGAGGACTCCAAGGAGAACAAGGAGTGAAAGGTTTGATGCTCACATTTTGTCCTTCATCCATTTTGAATTTATTCTTGTGTTTAGTATAAGAAGGTGGTCTTTATTTCCATGTAGCTGTCCAATATTCACATCACCATTCATTCTTTCAAAGCGTCTCAAAATCCCCTATATCCTCCACTATACCTCAGCCACTCACTCCCATGAACACATCCAAGACCATTTGTTTTGCAATAGTGTGCACATCTATAACCTTGCTTTCATGAGTCCCATTTTCTGACCACTGTCTCATTTTGTAAGCTCTACTGACTCTAATAAACTGACGCCAACATTACTTCAACCTCAATGAGACCTACCAACTTTAACTATCTATCAGTATTTCGTCATTTTTTTCCTATACTCTTAACCTAGCTTAAATTCCATGATCCATCATCAGAATCAGTACCACATATAAACCCACAACTCCTTTACCATTCACTCACTCTGTTGTATTTACTTACCACAAAAAAAATTAGTTTTTTTAAATTTAATTATTCTTCAAGTACAGTTTTCTGTCTTTTACTCCCATCCTGGCCCCCCACCCCAGTGCTCTCCACCTCCCTCCCATTTCCACCCCACTTAGTTGTTGTCCATATGTCCTTTTTGCTAGTTACTGTAAATCTTTCCTCTTTTTCCCCTTAACTTCCCTTCCTTCTCCCCTCTGGTCACTGTTCCCTTGTTCTCTATTTCAGTGTATTTGTTTTTATTTTCTTGCTTGTCTGTTTTGTTGTTTAGCTTCCTGTTAAAGGTGAGATCATATAGTATTTGTCTTTCAACACCTGGCTTATTTCACTCAGCATAATGCTTTCCAGTTCCATCCATGTTGTTGCAAAGGGTAATGGTTCCTTCTTTCTCTCTGCTGCATAGAATTCCATTGTGTATATGTACCACAATTTTTGATCCATTCATTTACTGACAGGCACCTAGGTTGCTTCCAAATCTTGGCTGTTGTAAATTGTATTGCTATGAACATTGTGGTGCATAGGTTCTTTGAAATTGATGTTTTGGGGTTCTTAGGATATAATTCTAGCAGTGGAATTGCTGGATCAAAAGGCAGGTCCATTTTTACTTTTCTGAGAAAATTCCATACTGTTTTCCATAATGGTTGTACCAGTCTGCAATCCCACCAACAGTGAACTAAGGACCCCTTTTCCCCACAACCTCTCCAACATTTCTTGTTTGTTGCTTTTTTTAATGATAGTCATTCTGACTGATGTAAAGTGGTATCTCATTGTGGTTTTAATTTGCATCTCTCTGATAGCTAACGATATTGAGCATTTCTTCATATGTCTCTGGATGTTCTGTATGTCCTCCTTGGAGAAGTGTCTGTTCAAGTCCTTTTCCCATTTTTTAATTGGGTTGGTTGTCTTCTTAGATGGAGTCATGTAAGTTCTTTGTATATTTTGGAGATTAAACCCTTGTCTGAGATATCATTGGCAAATATGTTTTCCCATACAGTTGGTTGTCTTTTTATTTTGATACTGTTTTCTTTAGCCACACAGAAGCTTTTTATTTTGATGAGATCCCATTTGTTTATTTTTTCCTTTATGTCCCTTGCTCTAGGGGACATATCAATAAAAATGTTGCTGCGTGAAATATCTGAGATTTTCCTGCCATTTTCTCCTCTAGGACTTTAATGGTTTCATGGCTTATAATTAAGTCTTTTATCCACCTTGAATTTATTTTGGTATACGGTGTAAGGTGATGCTCAAGTTTCATTTTTTTTGCACTTAGCTGTCCAGTTCTCCCAATACCATTTGTTGAAGAGGCTATTTTTACTCCATTTTTTGTTACTGCCCCCTTTGTCGAATATTAATTGCTGTAAAGAGTTGGGTTTATTTCTGGGCTCTCTGTTCTGTTCCATTGGTCTATGTGCCTGTTTTCATGCCAGTACCAGGCTGTTTTGATTACAGTAGCCTTCTAATATAGTTTGTTATCAGGTATTGTGATCCCTCCTACTTTGTTCTTGTTTCTCAAAATTGCAGCTGCTATTCAGGGTCATTTATGGTTCCATACAAAATTTTGAAGTCTTTTTTCTATATCTGCGAAATATGCCATTGGTACTTTAATAGGTATTGCATTGAATCTGTAAATTGCTTTGGGTAGTATGGACATTTTGATGATGTTAATTCTTCTAATCCATGAACATGGTATATGTTTCCATTCGTTTGTTCCTCATTTTCGTTCTTCAGTGTTGTGTAGTTTTCTGCATACAGGTCTTTTACCTCCTTGTTTAGGTTTATTCCCAGATATTTTATTTTTGTTTTTGCTATATCGAATGGGATTTTTTCTTGATTTCTGCTTCTGCTGATTCATTGTTAGTATACAAAAATGCCTTTGATTTCTGGATATTGGTTTTGTAACAAGCTGTTTTGCCAAATTCATTAATTAGTTCGAGCAGTTTTTGGGTAGAGTCTGTAGGATTTTCCATGTACACTATCATGTCATCTGCAAACAGTGACAGTTTTGTTTCCTTCTTTCCAATTTGGATGCCTTTTATTTCCTTTTGTTGTCTGGTCTCTGTGTCTAAAACTTCCAATACTATATTGAATAGAAGTGGTGAGAGGGACATCCTTGTCTTGTTCCTGATCTTAGTGGAAAAGATTTTAGTTTTTGGCCATTGAATATCATGTTGGCTGTAGGTCTCTCATATATGGCTTTTATTATACTGAAGAATGCTCCCTGTGTTTCCACTTTGCTGAGTGTTTTTTATCATAAATGGGTGTTTTACCTTATCAAAACCTTTTTCCGTGTCTGTTGATATGATCATGTGGTTTTTGTCTTTGCTTTTGTTTATGTGATGTATTACATTTACTGATTTGCAAACATCGAACCATCCTTGCATCCCTGGGATGAATCCAACTTGTTCATGGTGTTTGATCTTTTTAATGTATTGTTGGTTGCATTTGGCCAATATTTTGTTGAGGATTTTAGCATCTATGTTCATAAGTGATATTGGCCTGAAGTTTTCTTTTTTGTGTGTGTCTCTATCTGGTGTTGGAATTAGGATGACACTGACTTCATAAAAAGATTTTGTGAGTTTTTTATCATTTTGGATTTTTTGGAGTAGTCTGTGAAGGATAGGAGTTAGCTCTTCCTTAAATGCTTTTCAGAATTCTCCTCTGATACCATCTGGTTCAGGGCTTTTATGCTTCAGAAGTTTTTTTATTACTGCTTCAATTTCTTTTGCTGTTATTGGTCTGTTCAGGTTTTTTGCTGCTTCTTCATTAAGTTTTGGAAGATTATATTTTTCTAGAAATGTGTCCTTTTCCCCTAGGTTTTCAAATTTCTTGGCATACAGTTCTTCATAGTAATTTCTTACAGTCCCTTCTATTTTTGTGGTATCATTTGTAATCTCTCCTCTTTCATTTCTGATTGTGTTTATTTGAGTCCTCTCTCTTCTTTTCTTGATTAGCCTACTTAAAGGCTTGTCCATTTTGTTAATCTTTTCCAAAAACCAGCTCCTGGATTCATTGATCCTTAAAATTGTGCCTTTTGTCTCTATGTCATTTAATTCTGCTCTGGTCTTGGTTATTTCCTTCCTTCTGTTTGTTCTGGGCTGTCTTTGTTGTTGTTCTTCAAGTTCTTATAGGTATAGGGTTAGTTTCTTTGTTTGAAATGTTTCTATCTTCTTCAGGTAAGCCTGTATTGCTATGAACTTCCCTCTCATGACTGCCTTCACTATGCTCCATAAGTTTTGGGTTATTGTGAGTTTATTTTCACTTGTTTCCAGAAACGTTTTGACTTCTTACCTAATTTCATTCTTGACCCATTTGTTGTTTAATAGCATGCCATTCAATCTCCATGATTTTGAGTGTTTTGGTTTTTTTCCTTTTGGGTTGGTTTCCAGTTTCAGTCACTTGTGGTCAGAGAAAACGCTTGGGATGATTTGAATTTTCTTGAATTTGTTGAGGCTTGCTTTGTGTCCTATCACGTGGTCTATTTTTGAAAGTTTTCCATGTGCATTTGAAAACAATGTATATTTAGCTTCTTTGGGATGAAGGGCTCTGTATATATATCAGTTAAGTCCATTTCATCTAGGGCATTGTTCAATGCAACAGTATCTTTCATATTTTGTTTGGAAGAGCTGTCTATTTTTGACAGTGGAGTATTAAAATCCCCTACTATAATTGTGTTGCTGTCAATATCTTTCTTGAAATCCTCTAAGATTTTCTTTATATATTTGGGTGCTCTTATGTTGGGTGCATATATATTGATGATGTTAATGTCTTTTTGGTGGAGTCTTCCCTTCATTATTATGAAGTGACCTTCTGGGTCTCTCTTTATGGACTTTTTTTTTCAAGTCTGTTTTGTCTGATATGAGTATTGCTACCCCGACTTTTTATTTTTGTCCATTTGCTTGGAAAATTTGTTTCCAGGCCTTCAGTTTCAGTCTGTGTTGGTAGTTTGTCCTGAGGCGGGTCTCTTGTAGGCAGCATTTGTGTGGGCTATGCTTTCTTATCCATTGAGCTATTCTATGTCTTTTGATTGGAGCATTTAATCCATTTACATTTAAGGTTATTAATGATAGGTACTTATTCATTGCCATTTTTGTACCTGTGTTCCTCTCTGTCTGTCTCTTTTCCTTCCTTTCCTTAAAGCAGTCCTTTTCACATCTCTTGCAGAGGTGGCTTGGGGGAGGCATATCCTTTTAGACTTCTTTTGTCTTGGAAGCTCTTTATTTGGCCTTTTATCTTGATTGAGAGCCTTGCTGGGTAAAGTAGCTTTGGTTGTAGGCCTCTGGTTCTCATTACTTGGAATATTTGTTGCCATTCTCTTTTTGCTGGAAGTGTTTCCACTGAGAAGTCCTTAGCTAACCTTATTGGGGCTCCATTGTAAGTTACTTTCTTTTTCTCCCTTGCTGCCTTTATGATTCTCTCTTTATCTTGGAATTTTACCATTTTAATGATGATATGTCTTGAAGTGGGCCTCTTTCGGTTCCTCCTAATTGGAACTGTCTATGATTCCTTGATTTTTGTGACTCTTTCTCTTAT